TCTCGCGCCACGGATTTGCTAGAGAGTACCGTGTGTTAGCTAGCTATACTACTAGCTAGCTAGCTAGCTTGCTTGCTTGCCTCCTAGCTAGCTTTATCCATGTCGACGACGTTGAAAGAACGCAATAAAGGCACGGCTAACGATCATCTCGTTACCGGCGTCAACGCGGGAACTCTCACAATTACGAGAGCTACGAATACATATATATGATCGTGGTATCCTAAGCGACACATCCAAATCGTTCCTATTCGTTTCCTCGTAGAAACAGAAAGAAAAGGACAAAAAAAAACCGAGGGGAAAAAGAGAAAGAGAGCGAGACTAAAATAGGAATTGGAAGAATAGTAGTTTTTCCGTGCAATGTCGCGTTGATCGTAACCACGTAGGCATCGAACGTGAATTTGTAGGCGAATTCGGTGCAAACAGTGCGAATGGTTCCTCGTCGAAAAGTGTTTTGGCAACGAGCCTATACGCGAGCTCGTTACTAAATCATCTAAACGCGACCGATTGGATAGCAAGTTATATTCACGTTCTCTTCTACATACATACATACATACATACATGCATGTATGCATAAGGTATATATGCGCAGCGAATGTCGCGACATCGACATGTCGAGGGTTTTGTTCGTTAATTCGCTGCTTTCAAATGATGAGGGAGGCTGCATCGAGCCCCTAATTTCTACGCCAATGATTGGACCGCTCCCTATACCACGAGGGACACCCACTGTTTCGCTTTATTCGTTCCAACATTCGTGCTTATATATATGTATATATGTGGGAGATACGCGCGGACCCACACGCGGAAATCGGATATATGCGGGAAGCTTTTTTTTTCTTCCAAATGATCCTCTTCATCACCTTCTTTCGGTTGATCCATGACCCTTGGAAAGTCTTTTTCCTAAAGAAAAAATAATTCTGTCGAATTTGCCTCGATTTCGTATATATTTTAGTATCTATTTTTCTTTAGATTTCTCTTCTATTCGAGATAATTCTTTCTGATCTCAAATTATATCTCCCCATTTCCGTCTCCCTTTATCTTTCTTTATCTCCTATTCACGGTAAATGATTTCCACATAGCTCGAATTTTTTCCAGCCGTTCTCAACTTTTCATATGAACGTAACTTGAAGACTCTTGGGAGTATTATAAACGCGTACTGCTTACTATCTTTACTTCGTAGCGACTCGTCGTACCCGACGGTAGATAAGAGATCCTCGGCAATATGACAAATTCAGAAACGATGTGAAGAGCAATCCGCTTTAAGAGGTGAGATTCTCTTTATCGAAGAAGTATTCCTTTATAGAGATGTTTCCCTTTAAGCCACATAATCCGATCACCTTCTTCTCCTTTTCAACCATTTTCTTTCTGTTTTTTACTGCAGAAGAAGAAGAAGAAGAAGAAGAAGAGAAACTCGGCGCATTGAGTTGCCGGAAAACATTGGGGAAAAGTAAAAGAAAAATATCGCTGCGGGAAGGAGCAAAAAGGAATTTGAATTTTGGCGGGTAAATCTCTTTCGCGTATTACAAAACTCTGGTGGAATCCTCTCGGTAAGCTCTGAGCGTTGGATGGAAAACGTTAATCGCGGAAGATGAACGGTGTGGTCGGGGCTTATCTCGCAAATGAAAAAGGTTTCGCGGGATGAATCTAATAATGGTAATGTGCGTGTAAAAATTGGACCATCTCCAAATATAGAGTTGCAGCCGGCGGCTTGCCCGCCTGCCTGCCGCCCCCCTCACCGAGGTTTCATAACCCTCTTCCATCGGTGATAATTTTGCAGTGCCAGCGTGAAAACGAAATTACGGAATTTCGTTGGCGGAATAATACCGCGCGCAAAAATCAAAGATAATAATATTAAAATGAGCTTTTCTCCCTGCCCCCTTCTCTTTCCTGCCTGTTTTCTTTCGAGAAATAGAAAATGTTTGGAAATTCTACGATCATCGGGAACGTTGCTTCTGCCGACAGCTTTGTTTCATTTCCAAAATATATTTTTATTTAACAAGGAAAGACCCAAAAGATGATTAGAGACCAATTTTTTGTTTAATTCTACCCAGTTGTAAGGATCCATCAGAACCATATACTGTGCAAGGAGTAAGACCCAATACTCAACCATTTCCAAAAAAACAATAGGAGAAATTTCACATGCATTTTTATATTATATGCCAGTTCGTTTCATGTTAAATGGAAAAATAAATTTTGTACGGTTTAATTAAAAAAGAAAAAGAAAAAAAGAAATTATAGAAAAAAAATGTACATGGGCGGGTTGAAAAGTTTTGAGCCTAACACGCGAAGGGCGGGAAAGTTTTGAACCTACCGAGAGGAGGGCTGAAAACTTCTGGCTTTGAGCTTTATGGTTTTCCACGTCGTGTTTGGCTCAAAACTTTTCAACCCACCTCGTGTTTGGCTCAGAACTTTTCAACCCATCTCGTGTTTGGCTCAAAACTTTTCAACCCACCTCGTGTTTGACTTAAAACTTTTCAACCCACCTCCTGTTTGGTTCGAAACTTTTTATCCCACCCATGTATATTTTTTTTTATAATTTCTTGTTCTTTTTAATTAAACTACAAAAAAATTTATTTTTCCTATCTAACATGAAACGAACTGGTATATAGAAAAATGCATGTGTAACTTTCTTTGTGTTTTCTTAAAATTGATTGAGTATTGCTTGCACAGTGTACGGTCCTGATGGATCCCTGCAACTGTATAAAATGTAAACAAAAATCGATATAATCCTGTAAATTTGGCTCTCCTCTTGTAAGAATATTTAATACAGATTTTTTGTTTAAGAAATAATAAACCTACGAAAATCTCAAATTCTGTGTTCCTTTTTTTATATTTGCAAGATTCTCTCTTATTTCAATCCCCTTTTATTATAATATTTCATTTGTCGCGTCCAAGTCGGCCATTATTCTTTTACGTTACGAGATCGTTCCAACCGAACGATGGCTAAAAGGAGCTCCCACGCGTCGTCGCTGGCAACGATTTTCATTATGAATTCGTTTCCTGAGACAAAGGCGATGCTAAATCATTTTTTCAACAAAATGCTCTTTGTTAAATGCTTTACACAAGGAATGACATTATCTACGTATAATCTCGTTCTTGTTAAATCGTACCCTATATACATACATGCACTTATATAACATCGAAATGAAATTATGGAAGATGTTGATAATTATGAAAAAAAAAAAAAACAACTTCCGAAATGTCCAAATGCAATCATTATTTAAGCATTAATCTTACACAATATTATTATGACGAAAGACAGAAAAAATGTATCGCGTACAAAGGATTCATTTAATAGAAATAAAAGAATCCAGGCGATTTCGAAATCGCATAGAAATCCACAAAGATTACCATAAATTTTCCTCTAACACCCAAATACACGTATCGCTGAATCACTTAAGCTGTAGAAATAAGCATACCTCGTATTCCCTCTTTCCCTGACAAGCTCTTTTCCTTTGGTATTCTCAACGCATGCTCGCTTGTATGATCAAAAGAAAATCAGGTGACGGGCTTTCGAGTGTTCGAAAGGACTGGCTTTTCTCCCTCTCCCCCTCCCTATCCTTCTCCCTATCCCTTTGCCTCACTTTCTTGAAAGACGTTAAGTACGAGTATAGAAAAAGGAAATAATTTACAAGATCCGAAGGAAATCGATTGTAATTATTTAATGCCACTGAAAATAATCCGACATTGGTGAAATAAATATTCGTTTCCACGAAAATGGAAGCTCGTTGCAAGTTTCATGACTATTTCGTCGGATGAACAAAATGAAAAATGAATTACCTATATAAGATAAAAAGAGGGAAAGATAATTTCATCGAGCTTATATTTCCTTTGGATTTTCTCTACTCTCTCTCTTTCTCTCTGTGATATTCCCAAGAGTCTAATTCAAAAACGTAGCCTTATAGAAGCTGCATAAACCGAATATTCCCAGTGGAAAAGTCTTGCAAAGCACGATTATGTAGTAAC